TCCTTTCAATCACCGTCAGGCCATACAGAACGGACGGAGTCAAGCTGCTAACCCGGTGGGATGAGTGCGGGCGGGGGAAAAACTGTGCAGCATGCAATACAACTGCGCACAATTATGTGACGACCTGGTACTCACGATGATCGGTTTGACCCAGGAAGTTAAAGAGCTGTTCGGTGTGAGCAGCACTAAGGTTTGAATAGACGAACGTTGATTGCCTTCTGTTGCACGAAGACCAGTGGGTCTGTTTAGATGAGATGGAAGTTTGTAGTGAATGAGGATTACCGAATGGTTATCAACTGACATTGCGAACGAAGCTGTTGGCGATTTCCAATCCTCGGAATTTGAGTCGTAGTAAGCGATGATCTCTGATGCGCTTTGACAGTTGGATATTCTTTCAATCCATAACATCGGTGCCACAAGTGCACATGAGTGAGTAAATTAGCATGCACGGGGTTACTTCCAAATCCTTTCGATAAGTCTGTTGGGATAATCGACATCTGAAAATGTTTGCCTCAAAGAAAGAAAGCAATAGCTTTGACTCTACTGCATCTTCAGCGTAGATGTGTGAATGACTCTGTGCCGGGAACAATACACTGCGCTTTATTGGTCAGTGGTAATGATCAAAGAAAGTTGATGTTCCATCCATTGTAAGTTGCCTTTCAGTATATTCTACATTTACCTTCATTCTGATCACTTTTTGTTCAACATAAAGTATGTTCGAATTGTTCTTTAGCGAACTGAAGTCCTATATTGAAATTGTGTAAAGTTCAGTAGTCTTGGTAGGATACGAACTTACGTATGGAAACCGCATACGTTTTTGTACAGTGCACGCTATATCAGCTGATAGACGAGGCCACGTCCAATATAAGGGTTTGAATCCGGCCGAGGCCACTGACATTTTCACAATTTCGACATAAGAACATAAGTCAGTCCGTTTTTCACTGGTTTATGTTATACAATTTATTAAGATCAGTTTCTTAATTTGACACGGTTTCCTCGCCTTCTGATGCAACGTCTCGAGTTTCAGGAGATTCAATAAATTTTCACCAGCATTCTTGCTACTTCATCGGTAGTTCCGTGCATGGATGCCCTGAGCATGGGATATACTTTAGGCAAAACGATCCACAATCGATTGTATCGCGTTGATTCTTATCTGTGACTGTTTTTAAAGTTTTATTAATAGTCATATTCGGAGAACTGATTCACAGGGATCCCGAGTAACACGCTGTTTCAGTCAGGCGTGCTCGGTGATGACAGCATATTTCTTCGTGTTTAGATCTCGTGTGGTCTGATTCTCAAAATCATCATCTATCATCATGCGTTTGACTTTCTTGTACTGCTGGAATTGATTCATTCCGATTTGTGACTGTATGTCTGAAAATACCCACCCAAAGATGACTTGTCTTCGAATACGGAAAAAAGGTGCCACATGTAAGTTTCACATAGTGCAACTCTAGTCGAGGGAAATATCTAAACGGTTTTCTCTTTGGAATTCATTTAGGACCGAAAGAAATTTGCCTATTTCGATGAGGTTTACCAGATGATGATCCACACATACAGACAGGGATTTTCAATTAATGACTTCCACTTCAAGTTGTACGTGCTATTGAATAAGTTGAGCGTATGAGTCAACATGGATGTTTGCAAAAAGCTGAGAAGATAATCCGGAACAGTTGAATTTAACCCGCACCATAATTATGCTTATTCATCCTGCTAATAAATTTTGAAGATAACTGGACATATGAAAAGATTAGCAGTCGCTGAAATAATAAAAGCAAAATCTTGTGGGAAAAGTATAGAAATTTGTGAATCAACAAATGAGCATTTACTGAAACAATCAGTTATTTCGAAGGCATCGGTGAGGTGAATATTGGCACTGATGCAGAATAGAACACGACAAAAGGTTACTATCATGTGCTCATTATTTCACAAATGCAGTAAACATTCAGTTGTAATGGCTTTGGTAACGTGCCGCCTAGTTTGGGTGTAAGTCATGTTCATATCTCACTGGATCTTTTGGTTCATGGTGTCTGTTTTTCCTCCCGTTGCAAATTGTCATTTCACACTCTCCTGAGAGAACCTCCTGTATGTTGACGAATCCAGCCCTCAGCGAGATTTGACCCACATTCGATTGTCCGGTGCATTCGTCTGCGGGAAACACAGCAGCACACATAGGGCCAGACGTATTACACAGTCCAATGTTTTCCCGTCCTGAGAAGTGTAATTATGGCGATACAGCCGCCTCGATGGTGCGACCGCGATTGTGAATAATTATTGGCCTTATTAGTTAGTGTGACGTAGTGACGTAGCCCATCGATCGAGGAATTAGGAAATACGCTCCCATCAATGTGAATAAAAAGAGTCGCACCAGTTGCGTCATGTGATACAGTTGGGTTAGTGGCGCGTTTGTTTGAACAGCGCTCACAGAGCATGTAAGTTGTGTGAATGCGTAA